AAGAAACCTATCAACAAAGCAAAGTCCACGCCCTGACAGATTCACTGTTGAGTTCTACAAGAAATTTAAAGAAGACCTAACACCACTACTTCTCAAACTCTTTAATGAAATTGAAAAGGAAGCAGTACCTCCAAATTCATTCCTGGAAACAAGCCATCCCCTGATACCAAAACCAGAGAAAGACCCAACTAAAAAGGAGAACTACAGGCCAATCTTCTAATGGACATAGATGCAGAAATCCTCAGTAAGATACTGGCAGACAGAATGCAGGAAACCGTCAGCAGATTACACCCATGACCATTCAGGGCTCATTCCAGGGCTTTAGGGATGGGCCAACACATGTAAACCAATCACTGTAATACACCACATCAACAGAGCCAAGGACAAAAGTCTTATGGTCATTTCAGTAGAGGCAGAAAAAGCTTTTGACAAAACTCAACACCCATTTATGACAAAAACGCTACAGAAAATTGGAACACATGGCCTTTGTCTCAATCTGATAAAAGACACCTGTGACAAATGGATAGCCGACATCATACCAAATGGACAAAACTTTAAAATCTGGAACAAGACAAGGATGTCCACTACCTCGACTCTTTTTTTTTTTTTTTTAATGTATTTAGTATAGGATCTACAGGGTCTCACTACCCAGATTGAATTTGTAGTGATCCTTTCTATTTTTCAGCCTTCCAAGCACTGGAATTACAGGCACACGCCACCCCAGGCACATGTCATGCCGGTTGAAACCCAGTCTCAATCCAGGTCTCAGGGCACCCCTGGGGGCAGGGCCGTCATGGCAGGCTGGGGATCCAACCCCCAGCCCCTGCTTCTGCCTAAGCAGGTGCTTTAATCCACTGAGCTATCTGGCCAGCCCTGACCACTTTATTTTTGACAGAGTTGCCAAACACATTCACTGGAAGAAAGATAGCCTTTTCAATAAATGGTGCTGGATGGATTAAAGTGCCTGCTTAGGCAGATGCAGGGGCCGGGAGTTCGATCCCCTGGCCTGCTGTGCCGGCCCCACTCCTGAGGCGTGCTGAGACGGCAATCGAGACTGGGCATGGTGGCACGCATCTGCAATCCCAGCACTTGGGAGGCTGTAAACAGGCAGATCACTACGAGTCCGATCTACACAGTGAGACCCTGTATACCCTGTCCTAAAATACAAAAAAAAAAAAAAAAAAAAAAAGTGTTGGAAAAGCTGGCTTTGCGCATGCCAAAGATAGAAACTGGACTTGTGTCTTTCACCATGCACTAAACTAAATTCGAAATGAATTGAAGATCTAATATTAAAATAAAACTCAATAAGTCTGCTGGAAGATAGACTAAGAAAAAATCCTATTTTTGGTTTTGCTTTCTTTTTTTGGCAGAACCGGGAATTGAACTCAGGCCCTTGCGCTTGCCAGGGAAGCGCTTATTCCACTGAGCCATCTCCCCGGCCCCCTAAGTAAAACTCTTGAAGACATTGTCGTAGGCAAAGACTCTATGGATAAAAGTCGGATGACACAGGAGCTATCACAAAGAACCCACAAAGCATCTTTGAGATCTGGATGGTGCAGTGGAGGGGGGCAGGGCGGAGGCGCAGAGAGCGAGGGCAGGGGACTGTGGGGCCGAGAGGGAGCAAGGGCTGCCTGGTGGCTCAGGGGTCTCGGGTGAGGTGGTGTGACCTGTCAGCTTTTGACAGTGAGGATGAGGGTATTGAAGGGGAATTGACAGGCACAAGGAGGCCACATATGAGGACCTGGGTGATGACAGGTTTTGTCCTTTGGGAGCCAAGGCAGGCAGGGCATTGGTGCTGAGGGGTACAGTGATCGTCTTTAAGAGGATGAGGAGGGAGCTCGGTGTGTGGCTACAGAGGGAGTAGAGGTATCCCGGACACGAGGGTGATGGAGGGGGAAGTTATCGGGGAGGGATTGGAGCAGGGAGGGGAGAGTGGGACGGCAGAGGGGGCCTGGGGTGGGACCCAGGGCAGTTAGAGCAGTGGGCAGTTTTGCTAAAGTGTCCCTCCCAAGGCGCAGGGCAGGGTAGGATGTGATGACCAGGAAAGCGCTGGAGGCCATGTGGTTCTGTGCTTGCAGGGGAGTGGGGGAGTCGTGGGAGGCCTAGATGTGAAGCCCTCAAACCCCACAACAGACATGTCAGCCTAAAGGAGCGGCCTGGGAAAGAAGGGATGGTGGAGCAGGCTGCCCCTCTGTCTGTCAGGAATGAAGTGATCTTGCTGTCCGTCTCAAGACTGACCCTAAGTTCAGGAGCTGTGTCGTTCCAGCGGGTATCTGAGAGCTTTGGGGTGTGTCAGTAGTCAGAGGCCCTACCAATGAGGTCAGAGAGAGCCATGTTCTCCCAAGGAGTGCCCAGGAGGTGACCCCCATAGCAATCCTGGTTGCCACGGGAGTCTGGTTTTCAGTGAGGGCCCCACACGTGGCACATGGCTTTGGGAGGGGTTTTGGAGTTGTGGCACTCTTGCCCAGTGGCCCGACTGTTGATGCTTAAAGCAGGGTCCCACAGGGGCAGATTCCGCCTTTGTGCCCCTGGACGTTTTGTTGGCATCTTGTTTGGGCTTCTTACAGTGGAGGCAGGTAACTAAGTCAGAGATGTGTTGCTGGCAGGTTGTGGGAGACCCCAAAGGCCCGGGAAATCAATTCCTGTTGCGGAGTCTGAGGCCTGTCTCAAGTCTTTGGAGATTTTTGAGAATATCAGGATTGGATTGGGTGACAAAATGCATTCTAAGGATCAATTGTCCCTCCAGGCTTTATGAATTGAGAGTAGTGTATTTTTTAGGGTGGTTGCCAGTCAGACATAAGCTGAGCCAGCTCTTCAGCCCCACCTTGAGTAATCGCCTTAACTTTGTCATAATTGACTGACTTATGGGCTGCTTTTTTCAGACTCTCTACAAGGCAGGTGAGCATGTAATCTCTTATCCTCCTGGTGGGACAGGTTCCCTCCTCTCCTCTTTGGTTACAGCCCCAACTGAGTCTGGCAGCCGAGAGCAGCCGAGGCACCATCCCTCAGGTGGGGCTCAGTCTGCAGCATCACCAGCATGTGCCTAGGCCAGGGTCCAGACCTGCTCCTGCTCCTTGGGCAGAGGGTGCGGATGACAATGACACTGTCATCCCAAGTGAGGTCATAGGTTTGAGCTGGGCATTGAAACTCTTGGATGTAGGTGCGGGTCGGTGTCCAGGAGTGATATAGTTTGTGTCTAGATGTGCCCCCAAAGCCTCATGTAGTCATGGGGTGGCTTCTAGTCCGTGACTGACTCATGGCCCAGTGCTGGGATTATGGGTGTGAGTGCTGCGCTCGCCTTGGGCCAGTAGCCTGCACACAATACAAGGGAGAAAAAGAGTCCTGCTCTCTGCTGCTCCTCCTTTTTTTGCTCTTATTGCTTTTGCTGTTTTCTGCTGCCATGAATGGTCACCCTCTGCCATGTGCCACTCTGCCTTGGAGCCAGCTGGGTATGGACTGAAACCTCCACAACTGGGCATTGGATATTTTGTCTCAGCAAAGAGGAAAATGTATCTAAGACAGAGAGAAAGGAGCTTAGATGGTGAGTGATTAGAGATAGATCAGAGAGGGAAAGGGAACAGGGACCTGGACAAAGCCCTTCATGCTGATGACCTCACGCAGAGGGAGTTAGGGAGCAGGGTTGGGGGCTGAGAGGGACTGGGGTGAGAGGCAGTGGGGGGCAGGGCCCACCAGAGGAGACGAGCAGCAGGCAGAGGAGGAAAGGAGAGAGTGGGAGGAGGGGTTGGCAGCGAGGCTGACTCACAGAGGGAGCGGGTAGGGGTGTGGGAATGAGTTTGCGGGGTCACAGGAGGTGCGGAGGGGGGCAGCCTGCAGGCAGCAAAAACTGCCTGGACATGTGGGACTTCAGACCACTTTCCCAGCCCATGATAATAATTGTCCAGGTCATAGAGTTGAAAAATCCAACATACTGTGGAGGGCCCCCCAGGAGCTGTTACCTAACTTGGCGTTACAGAGACAGACAACACTTGGCTTCAGGCCGGGCTCAGGCAGAGAGCTTTGGGCCTGTGAGAACACACAGAGCTGGGGGACAGAGGGGCGTAAATTACCATTGTCCAGTGGCTCCAGACACCAGCCGGACAGAGGCGAGAGAAAGGATGCTGCCCACTGGTTCCTTGAGGCCAAGTGAGTGGATGGGCAACCAAGCCAGGCGTCCCCAGAATCAGGTGGCCTTTGGAGTCAGACTTTCAGGGGTGAGCGTCACTAGCACTGGGTTTTTGGAGCACAACTCAGGCTGGGCCCGGAAAGCCACTTAGAGTGGGGTTAGGGAGCGGAGACAAGTGACAGACAGGAAGAGGTGATGGGGTGTAGATGACACTTACCCGACCTGCAGATGAGACCAGCACAAACACCAAGTCACAGGGAGGAAGGGTCAGAGGCAAGCTGCCGCAGGCAGTCTCTGTGCACAGGTTCAGAGAGAGCTCAGATGCTCCGAGGAGCGGATTGCAACCTCCAGGGCTTCAGCACCAGATGTTTGGGTAGCCCAAAGCGCAGCTGAGACCACCAAGACAGGCAGAGTTTAAGCAAATGTTTATTGCAAGCACTTATTGCAGACTGGGTGCAACTGAGCCAAAGACAAAAGAAACCATTGTGACAAAAGAAACCATTGTCCCTGAGCAAGGGCAAGAGCATCTTTTATAGGGGAGTTTAGACAGAAGAGGGGGAATTGCTGTGGAGGTACAAAATTTTAGGTCTCTGAGTAAGGGGTCTGGGGCTGCTGAAACCAGGGCCTTCACACTGAGCTGAACCCCCAGCCTTTTATTTTTTATTCTTTATTTCGAGACAGGGTTTTGATAAGTCACTGAGGTGCCTCAACTGGGCTAGAAGTTGAGACCCTGCTGCCCCAGCCTCCCAGAGTGCAAGGATGACAGGCTTGCACTTTCCAGTGTAGCTGCCCCCATCAGCTCAGGCCCTTCGCAGGGTCTCAGAGCACAGTTCCCAGCCGAGTGCTGATGGCGCACGGCCCCTGTCATGTCCTGCAGGCACTCGTGGGCGACCAGTATGGCCCCTGCGCTATCCCCCACCGCATCAAAGAGAAGGAATGGGAAGCCCTTCGGGCCCAGCTGAGCGCCAGGCCCCGAGACCTGGAGCTGTTGGCACGTTGCTTCCGGCGGGATGAGAACTCGGTCCCCGCCAGCTACGTGCTGCAGGCAGTGGGAGCCGGTGCGGCCCCTGGGCCCGAGGAGGCCACCCTGAACTCGGTCCTGTGCAGCGCAGCCCAGGAGGCCTGGAGGCTGGGCCTCATCAGCGAGGAGCAGTGGCAGCGCTACCACCGCTCAGGTGAGCTGGGGACCCGCTTGGGGACACGTGGCCGCACACTCAGGTTCCCAGCAGATGGTGCCCACCTGAAATCCCTGCGTTCAGAGAGGGACAGGCAGGGGGATCCAGAGTTTGAGTCCAGTCCTGGCAACTGAGAGACATAACAAGAATCAGTCTCAAATAAAACAAAATAGGCTCAAGGGTAGCTCAGAGAAGACAGCCCCTGAGTTCAGTCCCTGGGACTGGAAAAAAGAATGAACAAGTGGAATGATGTGCTGAGAGACAGGGGTGCTCCGGGGGCCTTACCACAGGCACACACCCTCCCTTGGGCAGCACTGATGCCCTGGGGATGCATGGCATCTCCAGGGTTGGCAGCCTGTGGGAATGCAGGGCCCAGTCCAGCCGAGGCAATCACTGGGTGCGGTGGCACATGCCTGTCACTCAGGAGGCTGGGACAGGAGGATCACCATGAGTTCAAGACCAGTCTGGACTGTAAAGTGAGTTCAAGGCCAGCCTGGGCTACATAGTGAGACCCTGTCTCAAAAAACAAAAGCAAACAAAAGTAACTTAGGAGTTGATCATTTCTGGAATTCTATATTTTTGGCTCAGTGTTGGCTTCAGATAGCTAAATCCACAGACAAGGGGGAAGACCATGTAAAAATAACAAATATACAAATTTCTAAAAGACAAAATTAAATTAAAAAAGGAATTTGTACCACCAACATATCCAATGTAGGAACTGATATTATCAACATTAAATATATTGTTTTCTTTTTTAAACTTTTTTTTTTTTTTTTTTTTTTTTTTGGTACCAGGGATAAAACTTAGGACTTTGAGCTTGTCAGGCAGGTACTTATGCCACTGAGCTACCTCCCTGGCCTGCTATTTTTAAAAGTTATTATGGACTTTTTGTGGTCCTGGAGATTGGATCTGAATCTTAGTGCTGAGCTCCATCCCTACCCCTCTTTACTTTTATTTTGAGAGAGAATCTCTAAGTGGCCCAGGCTGGTCTCAAACTTGGGGTCCACCTCCTGTGGTGCTGGGCTATTCTGCTTGCTTCACAATATGGGCGGAGCAGTGTGTACGAATAGAGCCTTCGCCACAGTAAGAAACTAACGGAGCAGGCCTCTGCTCAGAGGTGGAGGCTGTACTGGGATTTGGGTCATGGTCTGCAGGGCTGAGATCAGAGCTTAGAACCCCGCAATGTTCAGCAACTGCTCCGCACATTCCAGGACTCCTTTGTGTCCTTAGCCCCATTCTTATTGTTTTGTTTGTTTTGAGACAAGGTCTCACTGTGTAACCCAGGTTGTCTTCAAACTCGTGGCAATCCTCCTGCCTCAGATGCCTGAGTCCTGGCAGGACCAGCGTGCACCACCTTGCCCCACTACAACTTAGCGATTTAGTGAGACCCTGTCTCAAAATAAAAAATAAAATGAAAAAAGGCTCAGTGATAAAGCACTTGCCTGGGAGGCACAAGGCCCTGGGCTTCATGGAGACAAAACACAACTCAAAAGGTTTAGATCAGCACTACCTCACCATGTCCCCAGTCCCATGGCCATGGCATCATTTAAGAGAGGTTAGAGGGGCTGGTGAGATGGCTCAGTGGTCTAAAGCACCTACTTAGAACAAGCTTAGCAAAGCAAAGGGACCCGGTTCAATCCCCCAGCACCACATGCCAGCCAGCCCTGCCCCCTGGTGGGCTGAGCTGGCCACACACACACATACACATACACACACACACACACACACATAAATAAATAAATTAAAAAAAAAAAAAGAGAGAGAGAGAGGTTAGAGACTCAAACTCACGGTCCCTCCCACAAGTTCCAGGTGAGAGCCCACGGGGATTTTAGCTCAGCGTGGAGGTTCGTGTCCACCCTCCCAGCATTCTGGGAAGCTGGGGTGGGAAGACCTCAGGTCTGAGCCCAGCCTGCTTACTGAGACCACCGCTCAGTGTACAACGCAAAGCTGCAGCTAGAGCCTCGTGCAAAGGCTCCAGGTTAGCCCTGCCGTCCTTTGAACCCACTCCCAGTGCCCACCCACTGCGACAGCCGCTCCCCACCTCACAGGGCTGCACTGGGAGCTGGAGCGCGGTGTGCTGAGTGGTGCCCCGGGGACCACCGTGCTGCTGCGTGAGATCCCGGAGCTTGCCAGGCACCTGCTGCAGGAATGTGCGCTGCCCGTGGTGGACCGGCTGCCCGATGGCTGCGTGGACGCGGTCGCACAGGGCCACCTGAGCATCCTCAAGCACCGCATGGCCCAGGAGTGGCCCGGGGCACTCAGTGTGCACCGCCTGCCATGGGCCCGCGACCTGGTGAACCCCAAGAACAAGGCCCATGCGCGATACCTGCGCGAGCTGGGGCAGAGGTTTGTGGCCAGCGCCTCACTCCAGCTCCTGCAGGTCCTTGGGGAGGGGCCGCCCATCTCTCCTGACCTGGCCGGGCTCTTCCAGGACATCCGCCACCACCTGTGGCAGGGTGCCCAGGCCACCAGGGTCTTCTGTGGCCGCCAGGAGCTCCTGGCCCAACTTGGCCAGCGGCTGCGGCAGGATGACCACCGTGCCCACAGCCCTCTGGTGCTCTTCGGGGCTGCAGGCATCGGGAAGACCTCAGTGCTGTGCCGGCTGGCAGAACAGGCAGCTGGACTGCTGGGCCGCAAAACGGTGACAGTGCTGCGGCTTCTGGGAACATCACAGGGCAGTGCAGATGCCCGCAGGCTCCTGGCCAGCCTGTGTCTGCAGCTGTGCCTGGCCTTCGGGCTGCCCGCACCACCCACCCTGGTGCTGCAGGCCTACACCCGGCTGGCCCACTTCTTCCACGTCCTGCTGCACACTGTGGGCTGCAGGGACTTTGAGTCTCTGGTCATCATACTGGATGCCATGGATGACCTGAACCCTGGGTGCCGCTCGCAGGGCATCCCCTGGCTGCCCCTCACCTGCCCACCGCGAGTGCACCTGGTGCTGTCCACCTGTTCCGGGCTGCATGGCGCTCTGGACGCCCTGCGAACCACACTCCAGGACCCAGATGCCTACTGGGAGGTGGGGCCCCTCCAGGCAGACCAGGGCCAAGAGATGGTGCAGCGCCTGCTGGCTGCAGCAGGGCGCACGCTGAGCCCGGCCCAACGTGACCTGCTGTGGGCCAGCCTGCCGGAGTGCGGGCACCCGGGGCGCCTGCAGCTGGCCTTCCATGAGGCTCACAGCTGGGCCTCCTTCTCTGTGCCAGCCCCCTTGGCCCCCACCACTGAGGAGGCAACACACCAGCTCTGTGCCCGCCTAGAGCTGACGCATGACCCGCTCCTGGTTGCCCGTGTGCTTGGCTACATCGCTGCTTCCCGGTAAGGCTTTGCTCCATTATGGGTTTCTTTCCTGTGCTGGGGCTGGCGGCCAGAGCCCTGAGCTCACAACCGAGATGTGAAGCCAGCCCCTTTTAAATATTCTGAGACAAGGCCTCCGAGTTCCCAGGCTGGCCTGGACCCTGTGACCCTCCTGCCCTGCCCCAGGGTGCTGGGCTGGCAGGTATGGCCTTAGCAGGCAAAGCTTTTCGAAGCAAGCTTATTTTAAAATTGGTCACAGAGACCGATCCACCGAAGTTTAAACTCAGGCTTGTGTAGGAATCAGCCAAAAACAAACAGGGAAACCCAATTCCAATGTATCTGTAGTCACAGAAAGAAAATAGACTTATCAGCATCAGGAGATTGTGAATTTGGGGCTAGCCTGAGCGGCTCAGCTGAACTTTGACTCAAACAAACAAAAGCAAGAAACTCCTAGAAGCAGGGAGAAGGTGCTTGCAAGGGCTGGAGCCCTGGAGAATGGGAAACACCGTCAGCAGAGGCCCCAAGTTTTCTGCTACCAGATCAAAGGCCCCTGGGCACAGTGGCACACACCCGTCACCTTGGGGCTCCACAAGGCTAAGGCAGGACAGCAAGTTCCAGACCAGCCTGGGGAACTTCACAACTTAGTGAGCTGTCTCAAAATACAAAATGAAAAGGCCTGGGGTATAGCTGGGTGGAGAGCACTCCTGCTTTAACCTGTTGTCCTGCAAAGATATACAACGGAGGAGAAAAAGGAAGGAAAGGGCTGCCTTCTGAGGGGAACTCGGAAGCCCAAGGCACTCGGACTCCATGCTGCACCCCAGGTTCCAGGCAGGCCTGCAACCTAGAGATGGGGGCAGCGTGGTAGCATCCCAAGGAGGAAGTGGAGTTGCCATGGAAACCAAGGCCCCTGGAAAGCAGTTCCTGTCCCTCCTTCTGGGTCCCCCTGAACGCTGCTCATGCTCCAGGGCCCCTACTCCTCCTGGGATGCCCACTGGCCTCAGGCTTCCATGGCCCGATGATCATGTCTGGGGAGTGAGCGCCGTGTGCCAGGCATGTTAGGGCCCTGGTCTTAGAGCCCCTGAAGACAGGGATCAAGTTGCCCTCCAGACGCTGTGCCTGGCACCATTGGCCAAGCCAGGCAGTTTGTGGGGCAGCATCGCCCCAGGGTCTGACGGATGTGGTGGGGTCAGCACGGCTCCTGAAGTTCCTAGAGTTCTGCTGTGTTCACACTGACGAGGCAGGGTGGGGCTCGGGGTCTCCCAGTGCTAGGCTGAGGTTCCCACCTTAGGGCTCCAGTCTTCTGGGCAGCCGGAAGCTCTGCAGACCTTTGTGGCTGTCCCCCCGCAATCAAGAGACAAGGAAACACGTCCACCCCAGGGAGGCCTGGAGAATGTGACGTGGGGTCCCTGAGTCCACCAAGCTGTCTGTCCATCTGTCTACCTGCCTGTCCACCTAGCATTCTCTGCTGCCCTGCTCGCTCTGCCCATCTACCCCTAACGCTCCCATCTGTGGTGGCTGGGGCAGGGACACCACTCACAGACCCCGGAACAGGACCCTGGTCCTCCACCCCAGAGGAAATCTGTGCCTAGAGAGCAGTTACGCCTCAGTTCTGCCGCTCAGGTCTGTGAGAGCCACTGACCTGTCCCTGAGGACCCTGCTCTGGACTCTTCACAGAAGCAGAATGGCACACAATGTGGCCTTCAATGTCTACTTCTGTCCCTCAGGGTCATGGGGTTTTTGGGGGGTTTTTTTGGAACCAGGGATTGAACTCAGGCCCTTGTGCTTGCCAGGGAAGCGCTTATTCCACTAAGCCATCTCCCTGGCGCCCCAGAGTCATGGTTTTGAGGTCCACCCACATCACAGCCTGGGGCGGCACTTTGTTCCTGCTCACGGCCAGGAATGCTAGTTTCTCCGTCCATGTGTTGGCGGACCGTGGCTTATTTCCACCCTCTGGCTGCTGTAACAAATGCTTCGTGCTTCAAGACGTAGCTTGAACTTGTCGATCAGATTGAGTTCCTGCCCTGGTTGAGACCTCCCAGAGACTTCCCATTGCCTTTATTCTTTTAGTTTACTTATTTATTGTTGGAAGACAGGGTTTCACTGTGTAGTTCAGGCTGGCCTCAAACTCGCTTCAGTCCTCCTGCCTCAGCCTCCCACAACCTGGGATTACAGGTGTGCGCTCCCATGCCTTGCTCCCCACTGCTGTTGAGGGTACACCGGCTCCTGGCCAAGGCATTACCAAGGCGCCAGCCTCCCACCCCAGGTCTCATGCTCTGACCTGCTCACATCCAGCTCAGCCCACACAGATCCGGACGCCGGGCTGCTATGCCCTGCCTGAGTCTGCTTCATGGCTCCTGGTTTCTCTTCCACCAGCACATGGTCTCACCGCCCACTTTGTGACCTTTTTGCTACCACAGCCTGGGTGTGTGGATGCCCCCAAAATTCTCACCCTGGGGGCAGTCTCAGGAGGAAGGGCCTTTGCGGTGGTCAGGTCATCAGGTCAAGCCCTATGCCTGTCAACTTTCCCATTTCTGTATGAAACACCCAACACCACAGGTATAGTGGCGCACACCTGTCCTCCCAGTGCTCAGGAGGCTGAGGCAGGAGGATTGTCTCCAGTTCAAGGCAGCCTGGGCTACAAAGTGAGCTCCAGGCCCCAGCTTGAACTGTGTAGTGAGATCCATCTCAAAAAGACAAAAAAAACAAAGAAAAACAGGTAGCCCACACCATGTCTGAGGGTGGGAGGCTCATTGGCTCATGGTTCCCGTGGGTTCAGTCCGTAGCCGGCTGCTCCAAGGCAGTACGGGCAGAAGCGCTGCAGGAAATGCAGCTCCCAGCACAGTGGCCAGGAACCAGGGTGAGCAGGAAGGTGCTGGGCGAGATGCAATGACAGTGACCTCCTCCAGCCCAGCCTCCGCACAGCACCTCAGCCAGGAGCTCACCCATGGGTAAACAGCAGAGCAGCCCAGACTGTGGAGCCCATGGCCCCACCCAGGAGGCTCTGGGTGCAGCTCAGACCTACACCACCAGGCCCCAGGAATGGGATCTGAGCCTCAGACACCGGCCCTGGTGCCCTGGTCCTCAAACCACACATGTGGACCCAAAGAGACCCTGTATGCAGCTCCTGGCGGGCACAAACATGCCGTGCAGGGTGTCACAGGCCCCTGCTCTGGGATGCAGTCTGAACACACAGAACCAGCACGGCCTGAGCTTCCCCACTGCCCATGTCCTGAAATTCTCCTCTACCGTGTGGGATCCAGAGGGCGGAAGCTTAAGCCAACCATGGTGTCCAAGGAAAGGCCTTGCGAGGGTCAGGGGTGACCTTGGGGCCCTTGTGATGGAGCCCTGGCAGCTTTCCAGGAAGAAGAAGCAAGTCCAGGATATGCACCACTCCTGTCTCTTCCCAGGGCCCTGGCCACCTCAGGGCACTGTCATCAAGAAGGTGGCCAGCAGATGCAGCCCCGGCCTGGGCCACGGCGGTCCCCACACCCTCCCCAGCAGGAGTGCAGGGTCACAGCAGTGGGAAACATACATGCACGGGAGTGTGCAGCCGGCAGCCAGCCCCAGAGCCCAGAGCCAGCACTCCAGGAGACTGAGGCAGGAGGGTCCCAAGTTCCAGCCCAGCTTTGACCACTTCTGGGCTGAGCAAGAGGGTGTCTCAGAAAAAAAAATGAAAAGGGGCCGGGGATGTGGCACATTGGAGACTCAAGAAGGAACCCTTTGGGGTGGGGGAGATAGCTCAATAGAATAAGCGCTTGCCTGGAAAGCTCAAGGGTCTGAGTTCAATCCCCGGTTCTGGGGGGGGGGCATGGAACGGGGGG